TGCCTAAAATTTTCATGTTTTTATTAATTTTTATAATATGGCCTCTCTAATATTCTTAAATACTCTGTGCGTATTTTTGCACTGTGTGTCCAATTCTTTTTAATATATAGTTTGTCTAAATTTTTTGTGCGGTTTTGTGTATTTTTTTTTTAGTATATAGCTTATCTAATTTTTTGTGACGTTTGTCTATATTTTTATAATGTAGTTTATCTATTTTGTGAAGTTTGTCTATTTTTATTTAGTACATAGTTTATCTTATTTTTGTGAGGTTTGTTTTATTTTTTTTAGCATATGACTTATCTAAGTTTTTTGTGAGGTTTGTATAATTTTTACGAGTTGTCTAATCTTTATACAGTTTGTCTTCTTTTGTATTGTTTTTCAAATTTGTTACCCGGTTTGTATTTTTTTTGGTATGATATTTCAGTTTTTTTTTATACTGTGTATTTATTTATTTTTTTTAATACGGCTCGTTTAACTTTTACATAGCTGGTAAATGTTTTGCATTGCCAAGAGTTTCGAATTCCATATTTTTTTTTGTTAAAAAGGATTGCCAGATATAAATAAATCTAAAGGCGAATGGCTAAATTTGAAATCGCGCCAACTTTTCCAAAATTCCAACAATTTAGCTCCTCATTAAGCATGAATAAATGGAAAATAAAGAAAGAGATTAAATAATACAAAATAGAAACCAACAAAAAACTAAATGAGAATGAATAAAGATTAATTGAAGAAATGCGTTTTCGTATTTTTTTAAATATAGAAAACCTTTCTGAATAATCTAGGTGTTCTATTCCAAAGGATTATGAATTATGAAAAATGAATGTTCAATATTCAATTAAAATATTCTTGAAATAAAAACCTTTGCATATTTTCGCATTTAAAGCCCAATCCATGAGTTAATTTCAGTTTTATAAAGATAACGTATCCATGAAATGCTTTAGGATATTGACATTACATTAATAAATGTGTCAAATACTTTATTATATATTTGGTAAGCCCAAAGATGCCGTGCGCCTCCTCATGAGCGTACCACTGGTTAACCCCAAACTTGTGAATAAAATTGGGTGAACGTGACAGTTCGAAAGCCGTCAATTAGTTCTGGTAGCCCGAAGACACAAGTCATCGTGAGCGAGGGTTTGATTGTATAGGCCTCGTTTAAAACAGATGATCACGCCGTATTATGCGTTCTCTCCTAAAATCTCTAAGATTTGATCAGCATAAATGCAGTATAACACATGTGGGTTTATGTGGGTTGAGCAGGCGTCTGTAATAGGGTGTGGCTAGCCACCTTGGCTGGCGAGTGTACTGGGGAACGAATAGTAGCGAGCCATTTCGTTATTAATTCACGTTAATATTCTGATATTGTTGCAATATCTGGGCTAGAGCTATTCTTCACTTATCTGTTTTGATAGAACGCAAAATTGTCTACGAGTGATTATTTTCCGTGTGACAAAACATCGCCAGCCTCTAGTTACTCTGGCGAGCGACATTCCTTAGTCTCACCACCCCTGATATTTGTAATAGGGACCCACCATGGTACATACAAAAGAATGAATCATACCCATTCACTTCGCATTTTATTAGTAAGAAGTAAATTCTATTCAGTTTCTTCCCAAGATTTGTTGCTTTGCGGAACAGGCTTGACCTATTCAAGGTTAGAGTTAACTGTTATCTCTGCATAAACTCGTGAACTTCACGTCTTATTTTTTCTCATGTATATGCAACACAACAAAGTAACCCTTTATCTTATATGCATGTCTTCAATTAATCATTATTCATTCTCATTTAGTTTTCTGTTGGTTTCTATTTTCTATTATTTAATCTCTTTCTTTCCGTTTATTTATGCTTAATGAGAATTGTTGGAATTTTGGAAAAGTTGGTGCGATTTGAAATTTAGCCATTCGCCTTTAGATTTATTTATATCTGGCAATCTTTTTTTTTTTTTAAAAGAAAAAAACAGTTCGAAACTCTTGGCAATGCAAAACATTTACCACCTCTGAGAAAGTTAAATGTATCGTATTAAAAAAAATATATGTCTTTATTGGGTGAACGTTAGTATAAAGAGGATGTGAATAAATATCGAAATATATAGAGATTTAAGAGCATTTTTTAATTGATAATTTTATATTTAATATAGATTATGTGTTTAAAGTGTTATTGTCGTTTATAAACGAAATTATTTAGAGTTTTTATATATTTCATACTTATGAATAAATACGCTTTTTATTTATGTACTTAATATGTATATGAAGTAGGCTAGATATTTCTTCTAATGTACTTGATCGGCGGCGATGTCTCATCAATTTACGGATGAAATGGCTAGATGTAATCCTAACTTCTATGCTAACAATTTCTTCGCTCATGAGAACTCTCTTGCATCCCATTAAAAATTTGAATGCAATGTTAATCATTATCTGCTGTCTTAATCAGTTTTATTTTATTGTTCTCTCGCATTAATATTGTTTTTGTTTTTTTCTCATATTTTCTAGCACACAATAACCGTTGCACCTTAGTGGCTTTACTGCCTTGCTTGAGGTGAAATGATTTTAAAGAATCGAAGAATCTTAATATTCTATTTTTAACGTTCTTTTTTACATTATGTACTATGTCCTCTTACAATGTGGGTGATCATGGCGCTACAAAATCTGTCCTTCGTAGCTCATACTTGCTTTTAAACGTTCTTGATGTAACAACAATTTACAAATCCTGTCCTCAACATGTTCATTATCCGAGCCCTGTTTACTCATTATGTACCTCAAGAATTTCAACTATCTGATTCTGATTCAAAATAAAAGTGCCATTTTATTTCAATTTTTCTTAAAAACCTTTGCTCGCATGCTCCGCCCATAGGATTCACAGAAACTTCTGTAGAACCACGTGTGCGTTGCCGGTAAATCCTCTTTTCATCTTCAAGGAATTTGCCCAGCATTTACTGCAATGTGTACGAAGATTTGTATTATAAAGTATCATTACAAAAAATTCGCTTAGCTAACAACAAAGCCGCCTTGAATAAAATGAATGTAATATGGAAATCTGATCTAAACAGGCAAACTCAAGCGGAGATATTTTGGAACCGCTGTAGAGTCCGTGTTAATGTATGTTGCCTCTGCGTGGACATTAACTAAAACACTACAGTCTAAGGTTCATGGAAGCTACATTCGGATGCTGAGCGCTATACTTAACATCACCTGGTGACAACTCCAACTAAATCACTGCTCTATGGACCCATCCCTGACATTTCTAAAATTTTTTGCTGACGTGCAAACCAAATACTCGGGAGTGATTAATCTTCTGGACACTTAACATGAATGTCCGACCTAATTCGACCGAATAAATTTATTTCGAACGAAATGTCCCCTTTTCGAAATACTTTTAGATTTTGCAACGCTTCTTTTACTACTGCGATTCATCTTCATATTTATGGGTGACGAGAGATTATTAACGCGGATAGAGCGTAAATCTGTATAGTAAATGCGAACTTAAATGTGCCACTGTCTCAGATTTTTCAATTAAAGGGAGACAACTTTCAATAGCTCATCATCTTCTATATAATAAATGCGAATGTCATTGTGTCACTGTGTCACACGTTTTCAAATTTACTTCTAGAGGCCGTAGCTCAAGATATCATACAATTTAGGAAAAATACCGGGCACAGATCCGAACCAACAATCCTGAAATTTTGGTTTCGTAAGTTTTCATTACTGCCATTGTTTTCCGCTATTTTTACGTGATTTTTTTGTGGCGAAATCTTTTGTAAGATAACAATTTTTATAACTTGGAAATAAATTTGGGAATAATCCAAAGTAACTGAGAAATTCCGCGAAAGTCACCCATGAAATAAAAATAATTGTTTGTACGGAAATTAAGGACCTACGAACATCAATTTTTTTAATTAAGTGGCGGCAGAAGAATAATCGTTGCACTTTTAAAAGGTAAGCTTAAATATTAATGCAATACTTAAATGCAGCGATCAATTTTGAATTCTTCTGTAGTTTATTGTTGCCTATCACATCTACACCTCCCTAAATATTGTGATGAAAGCCCAATCAAGAGTCTTCCTGCCGTCTAATAGGGGACTTTTAAGTTAGTATATATATATATATATATATATATATATATATATATATATATATATATATATATATATTCATGATGTACAAACATATATATATAATTATATTCAATATATATATATATATATATATATATATATATATATATATATATGTGTGTGTGTGTGTGTGTGTGTGTGTGTGTGTGCCTCTGTGTGTTTGTGCGTGTGTGTATATATGTGTATGTGTCCACACAAATTTTTAAACCTGATTATTGTTTTAATGTATATTCAGACAAGTAATTTTTTATGCCACTATACAAGGCCGATGAACCACTCAAGTTAACTGAACGACGTTATTTTAGAGATGTTAATGGAACAATTAAAAAAAGTCCATATTCTCGGAATATGTAGGATAAACAAAGGTTGACACATGACCTAAAAGAGTTAAGATTGTAGCGATCGGGAAAGAAATCCTTTTGCTAGTCTGTCCCCAGAAAGTGACACTTATGGGGAAGAATCTGTCTGAGTGGAACTTCCTCTTTACTAATGGAAGACGAAACGAGACGAGATGACATGACAGGTCCAAGCTGTGAATCTGGTGGAACTAAGCATGTAGGTGGTCAGTACATTTTCAAATTAAATAGATTAGCGAGAGGCTAGTAACTTTTCCTCTATAGGAAAGGGGTTGCATGGTGGAAAATAATTCATCGCCTACAACGGATGAGTATTAGTCGCAATTTGAAGTAACAGTTTTTCCTGTAACAATGGTGTGAGCAAGAATTAGATTTTTGTGTCAGACGCTAGGAATATTTACATAGCATAGGTTTCCCAATATTAGCAATTTGAACAGGGTAAATAGTGTTTAGCAAAATTATTTAGTAATATATATTTAAAGAACCCATTGTTATATTTTAAAACTATGGTAACTATCTGTTTGTTTTTATAC